TTGGGGATCACTCACCCTAGCGGCAGCGTCCAGATGGTTGGTAGGTTCGTCCAGCAGCAGAAGCGACCTGCCCCCCTGCCCTGCTGTTGCTACAAATGCCACCTACCCTAGAAGCACCTGCCCCTCTCCCACTCACCCTAGCAGCGACATCCAAGTGGTTTGTAGGCTCGTCCAGCAGCAGAAGCGACCTGCTCCCCTGCCCTGCTGCTGCAGCTGACGCCTGCCCCAGAAGCAGCCTGGCCAGGGCGATCCTCATCTGCCAGCCCCCCGAGAAGGAGTCGCAGGGATTGTGCCAGTTGGAGGAATCGAACCCGAGACCTTTGAGCACACTGGAATGAGGGAAGCAAAGTGTAGGGGGGAGAGAAGGGGGGGGGAGAGGGAGGATGGGGAAAGAGGGACAGAAGAGGAGATAAGAAGAAGATAACAGCTCGTAAGAGGAGATAAGAAGAAGATATACCAGCTGGGAAAGTCAGAAACCGTCAAAGGAGAGGAGGAGTTGTAGGCCATGCGTTGACCTGGGGGAAGCCCCATTCAGGTGTTTGTTTTGAGACGTCTCATAACAAGCTGGAAGCCTAATTCCGGTACTTGGAAGAGTTGATGTTTAAAGTTTGAACTGTGAACCCCCTTCGTTACCTCTCCGCCGTAAAACTTCGAGTCTAAAGTTTGACGTTTGAAGCCCAGAGTTACAAGTTCGCTTTTCCTCGCCTTGCCTCACATCCCTTCCCTTCCCTCACCTTGTGAGAAATCCTTGAGACTTCTCAAAAGCCCCCCTGCCTGCACTCACTACTGCTCGCTGTACTCTACCTACCCTGCCACCTCTCACCCCTCCCCCCATCTCTCCCTCACCTCGAAACAATCTCGTCCTTTTTCGCCCCTCCAATCGCATCGAAGCGCATCTGCGCCTCGACGAATCGGATTGCAGCCTGCTCCATCGCCCTCGCCCTCTCCCCTGCCACGTCACTCGAGCCACCCGCCAGCTCAGCTTCATCCTCGCTGTCTGTCAGCTCAGCCTCGGCTGCATGCATGTCAGCCTCTGCTTTATTGAGAGCATCCATACGCGAGCTCGCCTCCTCCCACACGCTCCTCCGAGACCCTGACACCGCACTGGAGAGAGTGGGGACGAGAGGGGGTTCGGGAGGGGAGCGATGGGTAAAAAGGGAGGGAGGGTGGGGGGGAGGTGTGGTTGAGAGCATCCATGCGCGAGCTCGCCTCCTCCCACACGCTCCTCCGACCCTGACACCGCACTGGAAGGGAAGGAAAGAGATGGGAAGAAAGAGAGGAGGGAGGAGGGGTTGAGGGTGGGAAGCATCTGCTAGATTTTATACATCCATACGCGAGCTCGCCTCCTCCCACACGCTCCTCCGAGACCCTGACACCGCACTGGAAGGGAGGGGAGTGGGGGCGGTGGGGAGGGACGGAAGAAGGGGAGAAAAGGGATGGGTGTGTGGGGGGAGAGGGGGGGAGGGAGGTCGAACGGGGATGTGGGGAACAACAGTGGCAATGTAATCCTCGCTACAATCACCTGCCTCTTGCTACAGTAACCCTCCTTCCATCTTCCAGTTGCCAATCACACAGAACTCGCAAACAGACCCATTTGGACCGACAGGCACATCATTCCTCTGTCATCTCCCGTTAAACTCACGTCTGTTCCAGATAGTCGATCCGCGATCCTCGCGATACAATCACCCTCCCGCCGTCCACGAGCTGTCGACCAATCAGAGCGCGCAGAAGCGTTGACTTGCCGCACCCGTTTGACCCCACCAAGCCGACTCGATCGCCTGGCATCACGCGCCATGACACTAACGAGAGCAGGTCGCGATCTCCCGCCGATAGAGTCACATCTTCTAGAAGAAACGCCGCGCCGGCAGTGTCGCCTTCAGGAGGGGAAAACTCGGGTGAGGGCGGAGGAGGGAGTGTGGATGAGGAGGAGGAGGAAGTGGAGGAGGGCGAGGAGGAGGAAGAAAAGGAGGATGTAGGCGGAGCAGCAACGGACATTGACCGGCAGACTGAAGATTTTGCCCTGTCCGAACCTGCTGACGTGGAATCGTGACAAGACACCTTCAGCGTAGACCGTCTAAACCGTTCACTAGCTTGCGACCCGCCATTAGCTGCTCCGTTAAGAGGCTGAGATACAAGACGCAATGTCTGCCGCGACGTCGAGTTGTACAAACTGGAGCGAGGCGAACATTTCTGCTCCCATACGCACGGTATCAGGAAAGTTCGCCGAAAGACCGCGCGGCGCAGGACTGGGATACTGGACTGGGAAGGGACGGGTCTGGAGGTTCCCAGGTTTGGTTGAAGAGCTGCTGACGTCATTCTTTCCTGCTGTCAGAGAATGCAGCCGACGAAAGCAATCGAGCCCTTCAACTGGCAGTCAGATCCTGCAGCCTTTGTAACTAGGGGGTTATATCGAGAGAAGAAAAGGGCGAGTTAAATTAGTGCCACTGACATTGTCCCAACGAAAGCCGAGGAACGTGTCAGTCAACCCAGGCGAGCAAACTCAGAAAGGAGCTTCTTCTGTCGTCGTCACCAGGGATGTAGTGATGAACGTAGTTGTCTGTTATTGACGTTCGCAAGCTGGAAAAGATTCGTTACTTTCACGGCTCTTTCCAGGTGGAGAACGGTTACGAAAGGTTGAACACGGTTCGTTGTGGGGCACTGCTTAGCAAACGAGAGGCTAGGAAGCACGCGGAATCCCTTTCACCCAGACAAAAGCTCCAGGCCGGTGGGGCCTTCGTGGCTGAAAACTGATCCTGAATATCCCCGATACATGTTGTAAACAGTCTACAGAAGATAATTGTATAAATGATATAGATAACACTGAAGCATTTAATTCACACACTGTTCTCCTTCATAATACAGTACCACAGGCAGTTGGACTAGACTGCTGGAATATTGGAGAATGAAAAGTCTTTGTAACCGATGAATGCGAAATATGCAATGCGACTTTCGTGGAAACCTGGTATAAAGAGTAGAACGCCCAGTATAATAAAAGAGATTCCTGTAAACACGGAAGGGTGAACAGAGGGGGGCGGGCACAAACGCGTGAATCGATATGGATTATTGAGAAACAGCGCAACTACACATGCAGGAGGGAGCAAGTCGAGGGGGATGGAAGGGGAGGAGGGAAGAATGGAGGAAAGAGAAAGCAGCAGGCATTGACGTGAGTACGCTGGGGAGTCAGGGACGCAGAAGATTGCATCGGAAACCATATTTGGGATTCCAGAAAGAACCTGGAAATTCAAAGCACCCGAACAGCCAGAATGCGGTTATACGCACCGTGGGAGCGGTCTCCCCACACTTTGTGGTACGTCATCCATGATCCCACAATGATCCCTAAGGCTCCAAGCGCCAGCAGGAGGAAAGCGAGGCAGACCTCCTTGATAGGCGGCCGATTATATATGATAAAATCGCCGCCAAACTCCTCGGAAAGCGTTGGAGACGGTGGTGGTGGTGCTTCCGTATCCAGTGATTGTTGCGTCTGTTCCTCCGCCATGACACACTTAGTTACAATGTGACTGTAATCAGTGTGACAATGGCGAGACAAATATATTGTGAGATCCACCACCTACAGAGTCCTGAGGAGAGAAAGCTTTGACGAATATTTGCACGATGCAGGTGACATAAGTAAACTTAAAGACCGTAATGTCCACGTCAGAGTGCCTTTTCGTCAAGCTCCCAAATGCTTCCACGGAGCTCACGAACCCTAGTCTAGTAGACTGAACCTGTGATCCACTTTCACGTTGACGACACAGCAAGCCTAAGCAGAAAAGCTGTCTTTAGTAGGAAATCCCAAAGCCGAACGAGCCAAGTGAGCTATTCACTAGGATTCTGCAAATCCAAGGCTGTTCAGCTGAGCTTCGGGTTCTAGAGGCCCTACGGAATTCCCTCAACTCCGCAATTGCTATCAGGCTTTATTCCAAAGTTGGGATCCGTCCAAAGTTCTCCCTCGCGACTCGAAATGTCAAAGTGACATTTCAATGTTTCCTCACGCGGTCCGAAGTCTGGACAACAAGGAATATGCCGGTCAGCTGATGTGCGAATGATTCGCAGGTCAAAATGCGACATGGACGTTCGGGGAGTTTAGAGATCAAATCCAATGACTTCAACTTACAATCATGACCGTCACGAACCTTGCAAAATCAGCCCACAACAACCAATGAGCCCATGCTGAATGTTTTTCCCAGGTCGCCCGGGTAGATTTGGCCGTTTATTGATTTCGCGCTCTGATTGGGCACGAAACCAGTCTGATCCAATAACCGTCAGGCGATTCTGACGAACCTGGTCGCACGCTTAATCTAGTCACATGTCCAAACTAGGGCCCCACCCCACACGGACACCATCCACCCCCAAAAAGTGCTTGCGGTGGGGGAACTTCGATGGTGTCCCAACTTCGGAATACAATCTCAGTCAGAAAATCTGTTAGCATTACGTCAAGAACTCAGTCCGCTTGGCTCTCTAGGTCCGATCCTCAACCCCATTTCAGCTGTCAGGTGTGTTTTAAACACGGACTGTCAGTTACCGTTGAGTTGGCGGGGGAGATGTTACGGGCGAAAGGCTGGCTTTGAGTATGATGTCGGGTAACATAGTTCGGCGAGGAACGCATTAGGGAAAGTCGTAAGGGCGGGTCCAGCGTGTACGTTTACAGGTACTATACAGTTCATTCGTAGTGGTTTGAAAAGATATCAGGCGGTTTACCAGCGTCAGACAACTTCCGACACATGCCGCGAGGGAATTGTTTACGAAGGGCGTGTCCACTTCTCACCCACCACAACATCACATTCCAATACAGTGAAGAACGAGTACCACTGTTTATCGTGTTAAACAATTGTTGAACCGCTTTGAAAATCACTGAAGGATTACTCTGGGCACGAGCACATGTGCTCATTTTGAGAAATGAAGCATGCACTTTTCCCGAGAAATTATGAGCGAGTCGTTCCGTGCGGATTTCGCGTATTCAGAAACGAAGCATCGCACCGTACGCCTTGTCGTCTTAGTCGATGGCGTCGCCGAGAGGCGACGACGATGATCCTAGCCACCTGGCGAACGAGCAGCGGGCTGCTGACGTGGCACCCGCTGGAGAGCAATCTTCGATGGATGCGGAAACCCCCGAGGCTGTGAATAAGGAGTCGAGCGCGAAGGGCCGCGCTGAGAAGGGGAAAGGGGGTGGCTCGCGCAAAAAGCGGGATCCGCGGGGGGCAATCGGCGGAGAGGAGGGTGGCGGAGGAGCAAGTGGCGGAGCTGCGCAGATCGGGGGGGAAGTCGAGGAATTGCCGCGAACAGTGGTGAGGCGAATCGTTAAAGCCAAAGTGCAGGAGCTGACGCAGCAAGCGGGAGGTTTGGGGGGAGCGGCGGGCGCAGGGGGGGAGGGGTCTGGGCGGAAGAAGGAGGTGCAGGTGGCGAAGGATGCGCTGATCGCATTGTCGGAAAGCGCTAGGGTTTTCATCCACTACCTGACTGCCACGTGAGCATCTCCTCCTAGTATTCTCAACCACACTCTGCCACGTGGAGGCAGGTCCATGCCACGTCACCTGGTCTCGACTCAGAGGTAAATTTTCAGTTGATTAGAGAGTCCGCATTGTATGTCATGGCGCCTACAGCAACTTCGTTCGTTTCTAGTTGCGTACCGGCAGTCACATTTTCTTCAATTGTCATAAAGTCCCTCTCTTTCTTTGTGGAGCCTTTTAATTTCTAACGATCGGATTCCTTTTCTTTGTTATTGTCGTGAGTCAACAATGTATAGCGCAGAATCATTGAGCAAGATCATAACCTTTCCTTTTCCTACTTTTGCCTTTTTTCCTTCAGTTTTCCCCCTGCGTCTTTCTGTTATTTCCTGTCAGAGCCAGCGGTTTCTTTCACCATTTTCTTTCAACCTTTCTGTCACATATTTCTCTCGTATCACATTCTTTCGCTCATGGCCAATCTTTCCTTCCTGTCACATTCCTTCCTCCTCCTATCAGAGCAAACGATGTCTGTCGCAGTAACAAGCGGCAGACGGTGAGCGCTGCCGATGTGTTAGCCAGCATTGAAGACATTCAGTTCCCAGAGTTCCTGCCTGCTCTGCAATCCACACTGGAAGGTCAGCTCAGTTCCTATCTTTAAGGACGTCTTACAGTATCAACTCACAGTGCACTGCAGACTGGAATTCTTACTGCAAGGTCAGCTTAGTTCTGACTAATTATGACATGCTATCGTTGCACCATGTGTGGTGGTCAGCATAGACGGCATCCTGCCTGCTTCGCCTCTAACGTTCACTGCAATCCATTCCACAGAGTAAAACACTCAGGTTTTGCTGTGCTTGTGCAGGTTTTAAGGTCACACGTGCGAGAATGTCCAATTTGTATTGATCTCACTACCAATTCCCTCTTGTTTTCATCGCATCTGACTGATTCCATTTCAGTCATTGTTCCCCATATTGTAACGCTCAATTTCCACCCATCCCACTTCATGCCACCATCTATATCTAGCTTCAATCTGTCTCATTATGCTCCTCTCGTCCTTTTCCCCCTTCCCCCTCTCCCTCCCCCTTAAAACACATCCCACAAGTTCTCTTACAAGTACAATGCAAGTGCAATTTATCCTGCATCTCACCACATTTTTGTTATCGTTTTGTTTATATATGTGCAGCTTTGAGGAATGAGAAAAGTGTGAAACGGAAAGGAATGTTGGAGAAGCGTGAAGCAGCAGCAGCTGCTGCTGCCGTGGGTGGGGGAGGCACAGAAAAGTCACCAGCAGGGACATCAGCAGCAGCCAAGAAAAGAAAGACTGAAAAGGAAGCAGGTGTTACGAATAGTGGTTAATGAAAAACACTGTTGCGCACTCCTCACCGTAGCAAAGCCGAAGCACGCACTATCGAGAGTGAAGACGAAAAGGCAGAAGAAAGGCGAAGGGACAGACGGTTACGAGGAGCATCTGGACCATCGGGCAGACAGCATCAGGCAGCAGCAGTGGGGAGGATTCTGCCCGAACAGTTCCGCAACCATTCGGAGTCGCACGGTTGGATTTCGCTGCAATAAGGGAATGTACACCTTAGAGTACATGGCTAGTTAGGTCGTTTCGAATTCCCCGGTACTCATTTATATTCCTTGTACTGCACGTTTTTATCATCTCAAGCATTTACATTCACTCTGCTACTGAGGTCAAGGGCCCACCACCACTAGACTAGAATTGTGCGAACCTTCCTGAGGTGATCCTGGTTACAATCACTTTCTGATTTCAACATGGTATGAGAGCGACTCAGGAATCCTTCGCACCGCCATCTCCGAAATCTACGACATTCGGAAAGTGGCGCCCGGCACACGATCACGTGTAAGAATGGCCGGAGGATCTGGAGGTCAGACGAAACTGACGGCTGAAGCGCAGCCCAACCCGGCTGCGACAAACGAGGAAACGACGACGATTCCTTCCGCCGTCCTCGCACAACTGCTTCAGCGACTCACGAGCCTGGAGCAAGGGCTCTAGACATTGCGGAATGGCGATGTGGGAACCTCTTCACAACCCACTCAACCGGCCTCAAACGGCCAGAACTCCACCGCGCAAGGCTTCTCTCTCGATACGAACGGCTCAACCCCCAAGACTTCCTGTCCCAGCTGTGAAATTGAACGAGAATGAATGAACTATGAAACAGTTGGGTACAAGTACTAACCCTAATTGGGTTGTACCCCTTATGGGCTACCCCACTACAGCCTTGTCAAATATTATAGCCTGTAGTGGGTTGGGCTATATGGGGTACAACTAGTTAGGGTTAGGTGATGTACCCCAATTCTGTCAATACAACGCATTCCGCTGTAGTTCTCATTCTGACATGGTATTAGCAGTAGGTTAGCGCTCCTAGTCCTAGGCCCGCCCTTCCCTACCACTAGGGTTACCACTGCACCCTGCCAGCCCGCCAGCGCCCTACCCCACGCCCCAGTCGGCGCGCCCCTCCCCTCCCCGCCCTTAGCCAGCGCGCCCGCCAGCCAGCCAGCGCGCCAGCCGGCCAGCGCGCCAGCAGCCTGCGCGCCAGCCAGCCAGCCAGCGCGCCAGCAGCCTGCGCGCTAGCCAGCCAACGCGCCAGCCCGCCAGCGCGCCAGCAGCCTGCGCGCCAGCCAGCCAGCCAGCGCGCCAGCAGCCTGCGCGCCAGCCAGCCAACGCGCCAGCCCGCCAGCGCGCCAGCCAGCCAGCGCGCCAGCCCGCCAGCGCGCCAGCTAGCCTGCGCGCCAGCCCGCTTGCACGCCAGCCCGCCAGCGCGCCCGCCAGCGGGCGCACCAGCGAGCCCGCCGGCTCGCCTGCCAGCGCGCCCGCCAGCGAGCTCGCCAGCGCGCCCACCAGCACGCACGCCAGCGCGCCCGCTAGCGCGCCCGCCAGCGCGCCACGCCAGCGGGCCCCGCCAGCGCGCACGCCAGCGCGCCGCGCCCGCCAGCGCGCGCCCTGCTTAGCCGCCCGCCAGCGCGCCGCGCCCTGCTTAGCCGCCCGCCAGCGCGCCGCGCCGGAGCGCGCCCCGCCGCCCCGCGCCCAGCCAGTGCGCGCCCCGCCTGCACGCACCCGCCTCGCACTCACCTCCCTCTCCTCCTCCTCTCGCGGCTGGCGGCCGCTATCACTTGTCCTCGCCCCTCATGGCGACGTCTCGCGTGCTCCGTTTCGACCCTGAGGGGCGTGCGATCGACTTTAGTACCTGGCTGACGCAGGCCCAGCGCCACCTTAGGAGCCAGCGCCAGGATGGCGTGCACCTGTTTGCGCATGTGTCCGGTGCTCTGCCCGCCCCACCGCAGCCTTCACCGCTGCCCACTACCCCACCGCCTACTTCCGAGCAGGAGGCTGAGTACCAGCGCCGGTTCCTCGCTCGTGACGTGTGGGAGCCTCGTGACGCTGCTGCCTGCCTCGCCCTGACCGACCTTCTCCCGCCGACTGAGGCTGTCCACTTCACTCAGGTCGAGTCTGCTGCAGACCTTTACACTGCTATTGTTGCTCGCTACTCCACTCCCTCCTCTGCCTCCCTCAGCCGCCTCCTCGTCCCCTTTATCTACCCTGACCTCGCCTCCTTTGAGACTGTCGCTGACCTCGCTACCCACCTGCGCTCCCTTGAAGCTCGCTTCAAGGCCGCTTGCACTGAGGAACACCTTGCCCTTGCACCCCCCCCCATGTGGCTCACTATTCACTGGTTAGTCACTCGCCTCCCTGGCCGTCTAGCCACAGCCCGCGACGCGCTTCTCCTGAAGCACCCCACTGAGCTTACTATCGATCTTCTTGAGACCGCTCTCTCGAAGATCGAGAGTAACCTCCTCGCTGTTGCCTCCGCCTCTTCCGCGCCTCCTCCTCGTCTCTTTGAGGGGTGTGCGGTACCACAGCTTCCCACCTTCACTGCCTCGCTTGCCACTGCCGCGTCTTCTGCCTCTGAGGAGACGGCGGCCGTTTCTGTCTCTGGCGGACAGAAACGTGGCAAGTTCGGCAAGAAGGGAGGGAAGGGCGGCGGGGGTTCTGGGGGTGTTGCGGGTGGCGGCGGTGGCGGTAGTACTAGTGGCGGGGGTGGCGGCGGGGGTGACTCGGGACCTGACGGCTCTCCTCTAGACGGTGGTGAGGGGTTTTCGCAGCAGCAGCAGCAGACTCCTCCGCGGCTGCCACCGCCTGGACAGCAGCAGCGGCAGGGACAGCAGCAGCAGCGCCAGGGCCAACAGCAGCGTCCGCCTCAGCAGCAGCCCCAGCAGTGGGGCACTCAGCAGCAGTGGGGCCCTTCGCAGCAGTGGGCCCCCCCGCAGCAGTGGAGACCTACGGGCCCCCCGAGCACTGGGCGCAGTGGTGCCCCTTCTAGTCGGGGACCCCGCTCGGCCGGCCGCGACGTTGGTCCCTGTGAGTACTGGATCCTGACGGGTCCGCGCAGGGGCACGTACTGCGGCCGCCCTGACCACTCTGCTGCACGCTGCTTCAGCCGTCTTGACGACCTGTACATCCTGCACCACAGTCCCTCCGCTCCCCCGCCACCGCGCTGGGGACCACTCCTTGCTCGTGGTGTTGCTGTGTTTGATATGTCTATGGATGATGCTAGGTCTTATGCCATGTATGCTGATGTTGACTATAGTGCTGTCGGATCTGTTTACTTGCCTGTACCTAGCGTAGGATCTTTGCCTGTTGCTAGAGTAGGTGCTGGTGTAGGATCCTGTCTAGCTACTAGTACAGGTGCTCCCTCGGCGGACGCGTCGCTCTCCTTCACACTGGACTCCGGAGCGACGCAGTGCTTCTTCCGCGACAGCACGACTCTTACTCCACTCTCGGCGCCGGTTTCTGTAGCATTGGCCGATCCCTCTTCAGGACCGGTCATTGCGACTCACGCCACTACCCTCCCGTGCCCAGCTGCCCCTTCCGGTTCTCTGACCGGCCTCCAGGTTCCTGCTTTCTCTAGGAACCTGGTGGGTGTGGCTCCTCTGGCGAGACAGCACGTCGGGGTCTGGTTTGAGCCTTCGGGTGACACTGCAGTCTGTGTGGACGGTGACACGTACGCCCCTCTGGCCACTTTTCGTCAGGAGCCGGGCTCTGGTCTGTACACCCTCCACACCGACACCCGTCCGGTTCCCCCGTCCCACCAGGTAGCCAGGTCCAGTCAGGTAGCTGTGCCAGGTCTAGTGGCTTTGTCGTGCTCGTGTCGGTCGCTGTCCCACCCTGCCCTCCTCTGGCACCACCGCCTTGGTCACCCGTCCCTCCCTCGTCTCCGCGCTATGTCCAGTCAGCGTCTTGTCTTAGGCCTCCCCCGCGACCTCCCGCCGCTCCCGCCGTCCCCCGCTCCTCCGTGCGGTCCTTGTGTCCAGGGTCGGCTGCGCGCCACTCCTCACTCCTCCTCCCTTCGTCCAGCCTCCGAGCCCTTTGAGACACTCCACTTAGACGTCTGGGGCCCCGCTCCCCGGCTTGGACCTGAGCGAGAGAGCTTCTTCGTAGTGGTCGTTGACGACTACTCTCGGTACACCACCGTGTTCCCTTTGGCGAAGAAGTCCGACATGACTTCTACGCTGATCCGGTGGCTGCTCGCCACCGAGAGTACTCGTCGTCGTCGTGTCAGTTGTCTCCACTCCGACCGTGGGGGTGAGTTTCGCTCCGGCATTCTCGCCAGATTCTGTGCTGAGCAGGGCATCACC